GTGGCGGGGATCAAGCGATCGCAAAAGCCCTCCGACTGGCCTTCTGGGCCTTCCCCGAATGCACAGGAGGCCTCGCAGAAGGCGGGATGGCTTCTGAGGAGCCCCGCCGCCTGCTGAGAAGGCCTTCTCCTGCTGTCTGGCGATCGCAGACATGGATTCAGGAGGCGTGGATTAGCGACGGGTCCCGTTTCCATGGGAAATCGCGGATTTCCGCCGCCGGGCGAGGCGGCACCGGCCGCATTTTGGGGAGGGCACCTTCCCCGATCGATGGATCTGGCGACCGCGCGCCAAGTCCATGGAACGCTAATCCATGGAGGGCGGCGAGCATCCCGAGTAGGTGGCGGGAGAGATCAAGCAGTGGCGGCGGCCCTCCCCGGCATGCGGCATGCGTGTGTGGTCCCTGTCGGGCCCGTTTGCCGGAGGCTGCTCGTCACACGGCGGAAGGGCCGCGCCAGAGGAAGGCGGGTCGGGCCTGGGAGGGGGCAGATTGTTTGACGGATCTGGGCTGGTCCGGGGAGCCGCCGTTGTCTCAAGTGGCCCTCTTCCGATCCAGGCCTCCTGGATTCGAGCGGTGGCGGAGCGTCCTAGTTCGCCCATAGGCCTACCAAACAATGCTCTACAGAACCTCTTGTGGTCTCCACGAGATGTTCTCAGAACATGTCTGGCTGGGACTGTCGTGTTTAAACTCACATCGGGTTTGTGTTCTAAGGACCTTGTGTTTGTTCTTAGTTGGGTTCTAAGAACATGTCGTCGTAGGCCTATGGGAATGCCAGGACGGCCGGTCCCTGCTCAAGAAGACTCGTCATGTTTCTTTTCTAGGACTCATGGATGGGGTCCGGGTAATCAGATGGGGCGGAGGATCGCGCCGCATCGCCGATGCGTCGACGATGCGGCTCGATGTGGGGACCGTGTTTCCCCACGCCGACGGCGCCGATGCGTCGCCAACGTCGCTGCTGCATCAACGATGCATCGGTGATGCATCGGCAATGCATTGGCGATGCGGTGCGATCCTCCGACCCTATCTACCCCGACCCCATCTAGGAGGCCGCTGATGTTGCAACCTCGGGGGACCTCGTCTGTCCTGTGAGTGTCGTGTCCAGCGCGTATTCGTCGCGGGGGCTCACACGGGCTCGACGCGGGTCAGCCGCGAATGCGACCTGGATTCGAGGATTCGACGCGGACTCGACGCAGACAGCGGCGCGATGGGACAGGCAGGATCTCCCGAAGGTGCAGCGTAATTCTCGATGGCCCCTTGTCCCCAAGATCGGAGGAGCAAGAAGTCACGCTGCGGCGGCGCGCGCGAGGAGGGGGCGCCAGGGGTGGGCCTTGTGAGCAGGCCGGGGGGGAGCTCGTAGAAGGCAGGGACCTCCTCAGTTCTTAGAGGCGCCTGGATGCTTCTGCGGAGAGCCTTCCTGACAGCCCCTGGCGCCAGGAAGAACTGGCCCCTGCCTTCTGAGAAGCCGCCCCTGCCTTTTCTGAAGCCCCGCCCCCCTGGCCGCGCCACCCCCTCTGTGCGCGCCGCGCAGACCCTTGGCCTCCAAGATCGCAGCGGCAACAAGACATTTTGGCTCAAGCCGTTTGAGACTCACATTATCACATTTGTGATTCGAAGACTCCAACGCAGCAGTTCGAGGATTGCAGGATGGAGCCTGATCTGCAAGAAACCGGCGTCTCTTTTAAGGAAGACTGGGTCATTCATCGCCACAAGGGTATCATCACCTGCACTTTTTTTGCTGCCGATTACGACCAACTTCGTTCTCGGTTGCGTTCCAAATTGCTGGAAGTGGTGCAAGCCAATCCGTGGATGCTTGGGAGGTTCAAGACGTGAAGACGCGTATGGACTGTCCGACGGCTGTGCCACAGAACAGTGATGAAACGCTTCTTGATTCCTATGGGTTGTGGCTGCCTGATGGAGGTGCAGGTCAGGGAGACTCCCGCGTTTCCCGTTCGAGTCCTTACCCGGTTCTGAACAAAGCTGTAGTCGATTGGTTAGGCCCCCTGGACGTAGCAACAACCATGAAGGCGTTCAAGAATAAACGCCCAATGTCTGAAAGCAGTCTCTTCCGCTTTACGATGTTGCGTGTCAACCCAGAGGAGTGTGCTGTTCTGTTCGGGATGTCTCACTACGTCGGCGATGCGCACACGTATTATCCGTAAGGGTTTCGCTCCATGCCGCCGGCCTCTTGTCTCGGATAATGCGAGATGCAAAAGCTAAATCATGAGGTCTGGGCGCCGCCGTGAAGCAGTGTCGGGACCTGCTTGTTTTTCGACCTTGACCCTACGGATCTGCATGAGGGGTGCCGCCGAATTCCAGAAATGTGGCAAATCCCTTGTGTGTTTGCACCCTGACCTTACGGATCTGCGTGAGGGGTGCCACCGAATGTCAAAAGCAAATCCAATGTGTTTTTGGACCCTGACCCCGCCGATATGCGTTAGGGGTGCCACCGAATTTGAGAAATGTGGCACATCTTTTCTGTTTTTGCACCCTGACCCCGCCGATCTGCTTGAGGGGTGCCACCGAGACATGTGGCAAATCCCTTATTTTTGCACCATGACCCCGCCGATCTGCGTGAGGGGTGCCACCGAATGTTAGAAATGTTGCAAATGCTATGTGTTTTTGGATCCTGACCCCGCCGATCTGCGTGAGGGTTGCCGCCGGATTTCAGACATGTGGCAAATCACTTGTGTTTTTGGACCCTGCCCCCGCCGATCTGCGTGAGGGGTGCCGCCGAATTTCAGACATGTGGCAAATCCTTTGTGTTTTTGCACCCTGACCCCGCCGATCTGCTTGAGGGGTGCCACCGAATGTCAGGAATGTGGCAAATCCTTTCTGTGTTTTTTGCACCCTGACCCCGCCGATCTGCGTGAGGGGTGCCACCGAATTTGAGAAATGTGGCAAATCCTATATGTTTTTGAACCCTGATCCCGCCGATCTGCGTGAGGGGTGTAAATTTTTACCCACCCCAGCAATTCAGACCACACGCTCAGAGCGTGGTAAAAATACCCGCCTTGGGCCTTCCCCCCTCGCGCGGTCCATCAGCAAGGAACAGTAAGCAGCAAGAAGCAGAACTGCAACAGTGGAAAACTGGAAGCTGTAAAGAAGCAGAACTGTAACAGTGGAAACTGGAAGCTGCAACTGGTACAGGAAACTGCGAACCTTAGGCCTACAGCCTGATGGCCCCACAAGGGGGCCGGCGGATAAGATCCTGAATATGTTAGGGTCCGAACAAGAGGTCGAGGCGATGGAGATTCGCCGTGTAATAGAAGGGAGAAGATGCCAAGAAGATATAGCAGCGTCGATCCGTAATGTTACAGGCAAACAAGCCGACAGTTTCAATAGATGTGTCCCTTTGCATTTGGTCAAATCAGTGTTGATGAGCGTCTTCAAGAAGAAGGGGGGGCGCGCGGGTGAGACTGGCGTCTTTTTCGTGGACAATGAGAAGATCGCCGACAGAAAACGTGCAGAGCTGCAGGGGATTGCAGAGACAAATGCGAGTGGAAAGCAAAGTATGGCTCAATTCGTTTCCACAAGCGATATCTTAGCGTCTGATTTTGCCGTTGCTAGTGGAGCAGATGTTTTCCTTTACGTAGTGAATTTCCGAAATCGCGTTTCTGTCATGAAATCAGACCCCATTCCGCTCTGTGACGACTCGGATGCTGGTAACTATGTGGTGGGCATTCCGTACGACCGTCCTTCGTACATCAGCCCAGTGAGAATCCGCGAATCTCTCATACCCAGAAAAGACGCTCCGTTGATATGCAAGAGTTCTCCCGATAGTTTCCCGGGATTGTTTCGTGTGATTCAAATGTCGTGTCTCAGCAATTGGGCTACATTCCCATTAGATTTAGATGGAGGAAATGCTAAGACGTTATTACATCTGCCGTGTCTGAATTTGAATATGTCTGCCAGCAATTACTTGAAGAATGCGTTCGAGCTTGCCTATGTTTTCAGAGCGACGCCTGATCGGTTAGGTTTCCTGGTGGTCTCGAACAGTTCTGTGGCAGCAACGTACGCGAAGGAATCGTCCATTCTCGAGTGCGGAGTATTGGAGGCAGGGGCAATTTTTGACAATGTTGCGTATTGATGTAGCAACGTTGGTTGCTGTTTTTGAAGTAATTCCGTTTTGTGCAGGGTTGGAGTGCATTGTCTAATTTCTTCATCCAGCACGAGCATGTGCTGCTTTATCCTGCATACCGTCCTCAAGTTATTTTTCAAATTTGCGGAAATCGATCGCATTGCATGTTTATTTGTCGCCTTTGTTTCATTCGTGCCTTGCGGCCCCCCGCCGACATGTGCGTCCATCGCGCAGCGAGCATCCATCCCCTTACATGTGTAAGGGCCCCTCCCATCGTACACGCAGATTGTACAATTTTATTTGCAGAGTTTGGCGATCCTCAAGGACAAAGAGGAGGAGCAGGAGGGGGGTTGTTCTGGAAGAGGGGAGAGGAATCTCGTTAGACCACCTGCGCCCAGAGGGCTGGCGGGATTTGTTGCGTGTGCTGTGGCGGCGCAAGGAATAAGAGTTTGTTTCGGCATGGCTGTGACGTCATTATCCGCGACTGTTTTTGTTGCGTTGCGTGCTCGTCGACATGTGATTCGGAAGCGCGTGAGATGCTGCATGTCTGGCCTAACCATATGTTGTGTGTTGGCATGTTTCGTTCTGTGCTCGCACGATTCATGGTGATATGTGTTTTGTATATTTGTTGGAGGAGTCTTTGCTTGTCCGTTGCCTGATATGTCCTTCACAAACACGGACTTCACATTGTGGTCCTCTGGTGTCGCCAGTCCGTCGTGAATAAGAGAAACATGTGTCGCGCGTGATTCTCCCCATGTAGAGGTCAGCGCGCTTCCCAACGTTTCGCGGAAAAAAACATGAGTCTACTACAGGGCTGGACCTAAACGCTGTTCTGCTGGACTTCGGCCGTGTTTTGTTTCCGTGTTTGCCAGGGAGGTACAAGAAAACAGGCAGGGCAAAGCGAAACACACAAAACCAAAACAA